TTCCAGGTATTTTACGTATGTCCTCAATACTGTTAGAAGTACAATTTCAGCTTTTCATTTTTTTTTCTGCTCCACTTTATTGCACTCTCTCAATGGGCCACACTCTGTCCTAAATGACAGCCATTTGCACCCTCACCAAATCACTGGTCATACATGAAGTCAAGTGTCAGAAAACAATTTGGCTGAGGATGTAGATCAGAACAAGTTAGATTTTACATGGACTATTATAATTCCTCCATGGGAGAAGCCCAACATGCTGGAAAACAAGCATATCTGTCTGTAATATATTACTCATAATTAGGGCTGTAGCTTTCCAGTAGAGGCTTGATTTTGACATCTTTACTCCCACTTTGTTTGTTTAGTCACAAACAAGGCTGCCGGGAACTCTATCCTCAAACTTCCAACAAGTTCTCTGCTAACTATCAGACAATGGTATATTCTTTCCCGACCATGCCTAGTTTATTATGCGACTTGCCCCCACAGTGTCACATCTAGTCAATAGCAAACCCACGAGTACAACACAGGTTTTCTGACTCCCAGCCCATGACTCTTTCCACTAAGCTACACTGCCTCACAGACCAGTTGCCATTGTTGCATAGTACCAGAGTGGCAAAAGGCCTGATATAAGCAACTAGAAAGAGTTCAGTGCCCACCAGTATAGCCAGTTCTCCAATATATACTCACATGCTTTTGCTCAATCCAATGTTAAAAAGACATCTCCACCTCCGCCCTCGGCTGACTCTTCCACAGCCACTTAAATCTCTCTGGAAAGTTTTTTTGATTTTAGCCTATTGGTACAGTGGCCAAGATGCAATAATTGCATAACAACTGTATAAAGCCAAAAGAAGGCAAACTGCTTTGTCTTCAATGTCAAGACATAAAGTTAGCCTTAGGACAACACTGACAAATGCAAACACAGAGTAATGGCAGGTTTGGGATTTTTTTTTTTTTACTTTATAAAATATAGTTGATAGAAAAGCAACGTTCAGGTACAATACAGTAAAGAGGAGACAGACATTCAAGGTTACAATAAAAATTGTTGACAGCACAATTCACAACACTTACATAACAATAAACATACAGTAGCTTGCAAAAGGATTAATACTGGAATGCAATTTCAACATGTTTCTATATAGAGGAGGCTTAAGCAGCACTTGCGAGTTTAAATCTGGTTATATGTGAATTGTTTAGAGCTGGCATACAAAATCAATATTAGTTTTGCAAGCCCTAATTACTCTGAATATACAAACAGTATTAAACTCCATTTGGTATTTACATTCACTGTCAAATGTTACAGATGTCTTGAAACTGCATTGGACATTTTCATTAACAAGAAAGTGTCTGTGGCCTATGCCTGTATAGTCACCCAACAGTATTTAATATTTAGAAGTCTTGCCTCTGGAACCCAATAAGAAAATATTAGTCAGTTTGTTACTTAGTAACTCATTGCCATATCAATATTTTAGGCTAAATTTTTGCTGCACTGAGTACAGAGATGCACAATTATTGTGTGCGCGCTTTCACACCTAGGCCTGGTCCACACTAACCCCCCACTTCGAACTAAGGTACGCAACTTCAGTTACGTTAATAACGTAGCTGAAGTCGAAGTACCTTAGTTGGAACTTATCGCGTGTCCAGACGCGGCAGGCAGGCTCCCCTGTCGATGCCGCGTACTCCTCTCGCCGAGCTGGAGTACCGGCGTCGACGGCGAGCACTTCCAGGATCGATCCCAGAAGATCGATTGCTTACCGCCGGACCCGGAGGTAAGTATAGACCTACCCCTAGATTTGAAATGCACTCCCTTCCTATCTACCTGACAGAGGACAGACAGCATGCTTAAAAGGAATAACCTTTAAAAAAATCATTTGATTTTAAACAATGAAGAGCACTAAAGCTGAAAAGAATACTTTGCATGCTCAGGTTCACAGTTTCCACTTTTATTGCATTTTTCACACATTCAGAAAAATATTTTATAATTAGGAAAATGTGACTACAAAGATTTAAGGGGTAGGTGTAGCACCTGTTACTATTTAACTTAAAACAAAAATGAAAAAAAAAACCCCAAGTTGCACTTTGACAGTGTCCCCTTAAGCAATAAGTTTTGATACGGAAAAGATAAAAAAAGAGGTGTGATCTGAAACAAAATAGCAAAGGCTGCTCATTTACTGCTTTAAAAGCCAGTACGTTTGTAATTGTCAACAAAGAAATGTAACCATTACAGGTAGTGCACTGCCTGGAAGACATTTAAGTCCATAAAACAAGATGGAAGTCAAATTGTTCTAATCATTATCGTTATCACAGCTCTAGTGTTATCTACTTATATTCAATCCATTGCAAAAGAAATGTGTTTCTAAAGTACTGACGCTTTTATTGCATTCCTTACTTACAAAGATCTCTTTAAAGCAAATGTGAAATTGCTAAGGGCTCCATGCTGAGCTGCTCTGCTGTGTTGGTAACAGCTGAAGCTAAAGTCAACAGATGAGGCTCAGCACCCTTTGAGATTGGGCCCTCACATAGTATCAGCTTCTCAAAAACAAACATGTTTAAACTACTTTTAGATTAGATTCAATACAATGAAAATGGAGAATCCTTACTTTCCCTTAAAGAATGGTTTAGCCTGCAAAAGCAATGATAAATGAGGGAGCAAATATTGAGAATAGGTTTGTAGAACAATAGCTTCACCTTTTCTACTTATTTTATTGTTTTGAGCGCACAGCCAAGATTTACTCTGGCTTCAAAAACTCTTCCCATCCCTCCCCCACACCCCACAAAGTGCAGTTTTCTGATTCATGAACCAAGTTTATGAGAAAATGTAAGTTTCTGCTTGGCCCTTAATTGAAATGGGATGATGCCTAAAATAGGGACTTCAGCAATGCATTTTGTTATATTTAAAATGAATTGCAAGTTTATTATAGCCAATGAAAACTGAAATAGCAGCATTTTTAGTGTCAAATTTACTTTTGGTGCAGTAGTAAAGTTAGACATAAATGGTTAAGACAAGGTTGTCAAAATGTTTGCCCGTTAGGATGGAGCACATTTTAGCAAAGAGATTGGGAGGAACGGAGTTCACAGGGCAGACAGTCCCAATGGCAGCAACAGCAAGCAACTGATTATACGGAAAGATAATATCAGGAAATTTACTTTAGCCCTTTTTAATGCAATTAAATAACTAGAAACAAGGAAGAGCACCACATGTTCAGTCAGGTCTCCATGGACCATAAAAAGTTTGGGAACCTATTTTTGGTTAAGTCAATAGGGTTCAGGAACTGCAATGATGTGAATGGTATGAGAACATAGACAATGATTTGGGCTCTGTACCCACAAGAGAGCTGCATGACAGCTATTACTGAAGTCAACAAGAGGGCTTGCATCATCAGGCACATGATATTCACACACCAAAAGGCTGATTTAGGTTTCAACCCTCAACTGTGCTGCTAATGCAGAAGGACTCTATACCCAGCCATAGGTATAGACTCACTTCCACGCAACCTGCAGTGCGGTCCCCTGGTGCTGAATAACTCATATAACCAACCCTGTGCCAGCCCTCTCCCAAATGCCAAAATAAGGAATCCCCTGCCACACACTCCAATGTCTCAGCCACCCCTGACAATCAACCTTAGTGTGATCCTCAGGCTGCTGTAACTTATGCCAGGCACCTAGAATGGTGCACAGCCAGACCAAGATTGAGGAACACAAAGGAGGCTTAAAGCCACTTCTACTCTGCTGCCTCCACTGTCAAGGATTGGGGCTTTGTCTGGGTTGACTATTTAGACAAAGGAGCACCAACAGATCCCAGCTGGACAGAATATTACCAAGCCATGGTTAATTTATGGTATGGTATTAAAAAAACATTTCTAGTTGTTGTAGGAATAAAGAGACAAGCAACTAGCTAATTTGCATCGCGCAGACATTTGAAGTGGGCTGGTGCACAAAAGATGCTTATTCTTAACTCTCCATCTTCCCTGCTGTTGAACAAATAACATACAAGATTTCTACTTTCCCATCTGAGGCATGCCAGTCTTGGCAATTAATCAAAATGGGCACACAGCAATGTCAGTTTTAAATGTAGTTTTATTTTAATAATGCCTTTATTTTTTCTTAAAGTGCACCATAGTAGGGAAAAAAAAAAAGTCTGCCTTTGTACGTATAGTAATAGTCAGAAGACTAGGTAGAGACTGTTAATACACATCCACATTTAAAAAACTGCTTGCAAGATACAATGTCCAATATAAAATTAAGTGTAAGGGTACTTTCCAGACTTAAAAGTACACAATTAAAGTTAACTATTTCAGGTCAAAAGCTGAACACTGCACAGTGTACAATTTTGGCACAGACAAAAATTTCATGACCAGGCTGTAATTGCTCATTGCTTTTACATGTTGTGAATTTTATAATGAGTTCATCTACATAAATGTGGATTTACAACCTTTTCCTTTTATTTCTATCTTCCGCATCAGTCTAAATACTGAAATTTAAATAGGAATGAGAAATACAGAGCTTTGTTCGGGGGGGGGGGGATGTCTTTCATAAAACAACAAGAATGCTCCTATTAATCTGTAGTAATGCTGAAGATAAGATACCACTAGTACTAGATCAGAACGATCACTGCTGGGTGCTCCTCTTAAAAATGGGATTCTCTTTTCTTCTGACATTACATTTAATTGTGGCGGGAGGTGAGCTGGGATTTAAAACAATGAGTCTGAAATGGCTTCCATTTACATAAATCAGAGCATGATTGCAATGTTAAGAGTAAATGGTCATCCACTCTCATCCTTCAAAAATAAAGAGCCTGTATCACTGGCTTGAGGGAAGAGCTCCTAAAACTGTATCTGAAGACATCAGGTCTCTAAACACTAGTGTTTGTGAAAGTCAGAAACCAGCAACCTAATTGGTTAAGTCTCAGTAGAAGTGAATGGGACAAGAGCACAAAGGCTGCAGCGTTAAGAATGTGGATGCTGAGGTTCTTAATACACATACTTTCAGGGTTCGTTTGATTCATCTTTTTGGCCTACGTGTACTTTACCTAGGGAAACCTTCAAAACAGAATATACAGCTTCCGTTGCAATCTTCACAGGACCCTTTGAAAATGGGCACTTCTTCCACACATACCAGATGAAGAAATTAGTTCCTAAACTCTAATTTATGTGCTACAAAGATGTGTTCTAGTAAAGGGGTACAGTTTGGCCTTTGGAGTACTATGATTCATACTGCAGATTTACATCTGGGGAGTTCTAAAGGCTTATTGGATACTGTTGGGTCCTTGTCCCTAGAAAAAAATTTCAAGATGGGCAGCCCAACCAACTGAAATGTTATGGAGGAGTTTCTGAAAAGCAACAAAATCAGAGCGTGCTGCAACAGCAATACAGCAACCCTTAAATTTCTGGGTACCAAAAATATGATACATTATTACTGAGAGAAACATGTCAGTAGGATAAGGAATTTTGCATAAGTGAATAAAACAAAGCTTTTCCAGATATCCTAGTACAGATGTCTTAAAGTTTCCACAGTGTGGAATGCATCTTAAAGAGAGTCTCATGGACCATGTTGCCACTCTCATTAACATTACTGTGTAACTTCCCTGTGACAATGATAGCAACTACTAACATGGAGAGTTAGGTAAATTTTAACTTGCCCTTCAACGTGAATTAACAGATGGAGATGCGCAAAGTTAGAACTATGTGACCAGCCAGCTCTCCACATCCCACCAGCAAGTATTCTGCAGACCATTGGTATATGGGCCACAGTTGGGAACCACTGCATTTGAGGACCTACAGGAAGATGAATCTTTATGTACAGCGATCTCGTGAAAAAAAATAATTATTTTGTTAAATATAAAGTGAGGTTTTATTTTTCCTAACACAGCCTGTAGTGTTTCTGAATTACCTGAGAATCAAAGACTTAGAGATGCTCATGACTTATTAATACCAGACTGGAAAACTAAATGGACTAGGTTCAGATATAGCTACAAGAAGATAACTTTGTAAAGCTGATCGGATGTCATCTGGAAAAACTTAAAAAAAAAAAAAATCTTCATCTGAGTAACAAGATCTATAAGAAAGGATATCAAGGATTGTTGTCTTCAGGAACTGTATCCTCTCTAGGATGTGAGAATTAGAAAGGAGAAGAATGGAAAAGAGGTAGGTGTCAAGAATTGTAGCAGCAGGATCTAGATATTTTGCTTACAGGCTCATAATGAAAAATGGAAGGATGTTTTACCTGTCAACTTCAAGTTCAGGGTTCTAGATTTTTCCCAAAGTATCAGCAATATCAGTGCCTTACTACAGCAAGGAATGGTTTTCCTTATGCCACTTTTGGTTTCGGTGAGCTCATTACACTGTAGCAAGGAAATCATGGAATCCCAGTATTGGCAGCAGAGCAAAAAGGAAGAAGTATTTTTCTTCTAAAACATTTGTAAAAGCTAAACCTACACATGCTAATTCACTTTAGAATATTACATTTTATTACTTCTTGCCTTTCCCCACCCAAACCTTGTATGGTAAACAAGCAAATTCTAAAACAAAGATATATGGTATGGTTAGTCAGGGATTTGAGATAAACAGATATTCATTTTTAAATAAACACTTCAATTCGCCTACAGGGGAGTTTTTCTTACCTACATTTTCCTTCAAAGTTTTTAATGCTAAATATAAAATTTTAATTGCCATGCATTTGGCTCAGATTACAAGATAGGTAGTTTTTATGCCTAGTTTCTATATACGGGTGAGTATATATAAATGTGTGTATACATACATACATATATTAGAGAGAGAGAGGCAGAATACTGATGACTACACTAGCATTCATAGGGAGTTAAGCAGTGATGGCATTTTGATTGCAATTTGTGACAAGTACTTCAGTCCTTTGTTTTACAGTTCTTTATATGAGGCCTGAAATACTTTGAGACATTAGTCTGATGCTATTACATTAGAAATATTGGGCCAAATTCATCCCTTCTATAACTCCGCTGAAGTCAATAGAGTTAGTCAGGGATGAATGTGGGCCGAAATTGTTTGGTCACTGGATAACATCTTAAAAATATATAATACTGTACTTTCATTTTTTACCTTTGGAGGAACACACTCTGGTCTAATCAAGCTTAGCCAAAGTAGGCATCTTAATATCATGCACTGCCAGAAGCAGGGCTTTGGAACGGAGCCCGGAGCTGGAGCGCGGAGCAGCTCCGGAGCAGTGGAGCTGTAGGTTTTTGGCTGGAGCTGGAGCGGAGCCGGAGCACACTTCCAAAGCCCTGGCCAGAAGGCTCCTGGTATTTTCCTCTTAGATGCCCCTTGGCCTCAGTAACAAAATAAAACTTGCTACTTTCAATCAATCATGTTTAAACGTGACATGACAAAGACAAACAAAACTGCAAGGCAGCACAAAGGCCTGTTCAATTATTCAGACAAATAAGAGAATCTATGTAGTGCTTATAGGAGGATCTCCAGTAATTCTGGACTGGAAATATCCCAATGAAATATAGTACTCATGTACCCTCCATCAAATTCTCTTCACTAAATGAATCTGAATATTTTTATCTGAAATCAGATAAAAATACTTAGCTTAACTCATCAGAAACACAGGGGGAAAAAAATGGATCAGGCACTACTGAAGGCCTAACAGAGCCAGTCTCTCTCCTCTCACTGGGGGATATAGCCCCCTTGCCTTACAGTTTGTGGCATGTAACTTTTTGGTATCTCATCAACTGTTGCTGTGTTTATCCCCATCGTTTCCAGTCTCAGAATCTGTCCCTCAGTACTTGGGCTGAATGCATCTGCCAAAGCAGATTCAGGTTTATTTTTCTCTGGCCCAGAGCCACACAGCTGTGAACTGTGACCTGAAATCTGTAGTTGTGCAAGTCCAACAAGATCCTCCTCGTTTATTGGAGGAGTAACTTGCTTTGCTCTTTCAAAATATGACCCATCTGTATTGGTTTCATCCTGACTACTATTTTGTTTGAAATACTGCTGCCTTGGAGTTGCACTTTCACCTCCTCCTGGGTTATCTTCTGGTTTCTCTTCTGAATCTAGCAGCGGCTGGGTGGATTCAGATCTTGAAAAGACTTGAACAGAAGGAATTTGGTCTCTGTAGCCATTGAGTACTACAGTTGAATACTGTACAGTGCTTGAAGTGTTTTGTGCAGATTCACTCTCATCACTGTCGGAAACACTTTGCCTAGGAGAAGACATGCATGAGGATCCTCCAATACCACTGCTGTGCCCCTCTGAAGTATTTTTTTCCTTTTTAAGCAAGTTGAAGGGTTTTAGATCCTGCTCTGAAACGGACTTCTTGTCATCTGCTTCTATTTCAACCACGCTTACATCAGTAAAGCTGCCTTCTGGATACATCTGATCTTTGGAACTAAAATTATGCTGAAAGAAAAGAAGAAAGTTAGGTGTTGCCTATGAGGGAAAAAGAGTCATGGTGTCTCACTATCTATTCTTTACGCACTTTGAGACTCCAACAGGTTTTGCTCTCTGCAGAATTTGGCAGTTCTTCTTGAGTATTTGCCATAAGATGGAAAATGTGGTTTACATTTCCAAGTATCAAAGTCTTAAGTACACAGACTCCCTGGAACCAGAATTTCATGAAGGGTCTACCCAAACCCTTACTCTTCTGTGATACTGAGAATAAATTGAGCACCATGCATTGTATCCTGCAGAAGTATTTCAGATTAAGACCTTGCAACAGAAATGCTATCGCCTCTACATGTATATTAAATATCTCATAGCAATTTTCACTGGAGTTTGTCCTGGTTCCTTGATCAGAATTTCCCCTTCTCCACTACTATGCAGCATGCCAGTTTGTTACCACTCCACACACAGATGCGCATATCTGCTGTACCCCTCTCTCTGTATTTGTATTTCATTATAAATTGCTCTAACAAATTTCCAATTCTCAACTGCCTAAAAATTCCATTGATTTCCACTTAATTGCTCATGATTTACACATTTGGGGAAGTGAGAGAAGAATTAAGCCCTGAACCTTAAACCTATGAAACTTAAAATTAGCCCCATATTAACAGAATCCAATTTAGGTTGTGAGCTCCTTGTGACTGTATCTGCCTAATGCTGAATACACTGATGGTATTAAAATAATCCTGAGATATAGGAGGAACATTTTAACAGGTTGAAAATCCAAGTTCTCTTTCAATATCCATTTAGAGGGCTCCTACTCGTCAGTTTATTCTTAAGATATTTTATGAACTATCATAAAGATTCAATCTTACCTTAGGTGGAGTTTGAGGGGACCACTGAGCAATATTACTTTTGGAAGGATCAGGAACATTAGGCCAGATATGCTTTTTAATTCTACAGGAGGATAAAACAATGGAAAATACATTTCTTGAACCCTCAAAACTTGCAAACATGGTTACAGTTGTGCTTTATATTCTTAATGTACAATTACTGGTCTTTTAAAATATTTGACAGAAGTGTTACAGATACCGATTTTGTCCTGTCACATTTGACGTCTGGTGTGCTCATTTGCAAAGTCATACCTAGAACACTTCATGCTCACTGCCACTTCATTTCACTGCAACTTGAGAAGATTGGCTTTATAGCCTAGTTTTGTGACAGTTCGATTTGGGGCTCCCCCACCCACATCAAATAAAATGATCAAAAGAAAAACAGAACAGTAGTGGGTTTGGGAGAGGTCATAAAATAAATCTAATAGCACTTTTGAAGGCACAAAGTGACAGTTAAATCTCACTGAATGAGCATTACCCAATATACTGGAAAAAGTAGATATTTTTGGCTCTCTGTCTTTTTTTTACATATATAGACCAGAATGACAGAGATGCTCTGGTGCCATGGTGAGGAGTGCCACAAACGTCTAGACAGACTTTGCAATTAAAAATATAAATAAATAGAAAAAAATATAGAAAAAATGCACACACATTTAAATACAATCCAACTGAAACTGGTGCATGACATTTTTCCTGAGGAAATAGCGACAAGCTCCTTAAACATAACTAGCGATCAAAACCTAGTAATTTGTAAATACCATCAAATATGAAAACAGTTATATAATACAATGTGATGGATGCTCCTAGCTGTTTAAACCTCTTTGCTAAAGAAAGGTAAGAGAATATGCCCTGACAAGTATATAGTTTTAGTTAACAGGCATTGCCAGATGGTCCTTCAGCTAAGGCCCATTAAGAGGCAGCCCTAAGAGGGACAAGTAAAGGTAGATTGGTAGAGCCCCATTATGAAAAAATGTAATTTTGTTGGGGATATCTGAAGGGTACTCTTTAGCCAAGTGACCAGGCATAGAGACAGTTTATATTTTTCCCCAGCCAAAGGCACCGTGCCAGCAGCCGTGGGCGCCCCGGGGCTGGAGCACCCACAGAAAAAAAAAATAAAAAAAAAAATAGTGGGTGCTCAGCACTCACCGGCAGGCCCCGCCGATCAGCTCCTCCTCTTTACCCCCAGCGCCTCCCGCCCACCAAGGATCAGCTGATCAGCGGCAGGCAGGAGGCGCTGGGGGGAGAGGGAGGAATGGGGGCAGAAAGAGGTGAAGTGAGGGCGGGGCGTGTTTGGGAGGGGGGCGGAACGCGGCAGAAAGAGGCAGGGTGAGGCCTTGGGGGAAGGCGTGGAGTGGGGGCGGGGGTCGAGCACGTCCTGGGGAACTCAAAGTCGGTGTCTCTCCCAGCAGCTACTACTTGGAGCAGAGTTTTTGAAAGAGCTATAAGACAGGACAGAAAAAGCTGCAAGGAAGAGAGAGGGAGACATCTTCCAGTGGTGTGGTGCCTTTGCCTCCCCTTCAAAAAAAGCTGGCTTACATTATTTAACTCGTTTTATTACACAGACTGTGAAAAATAGATTTTTTTAGTGGGATGTAAAGAATTCCTTAATGGTGTATTAATTATATGAAACTCAGGTGATCAAAAATTTCAGTTTATTCTGAAAATCAAGAACTAGCAAGAATTTCCTATCACATTCAGTTAATAGGCTTGCACAAAATCTTTTTAAAAAAAGAGCTCTCTGAATTATTGTTACAGCATTGTTATAGCAAAAGTCTCATATCTCTAAGAGGAACATGGACCCAATTCCTCCCCTCCTCCCAAACCTGTTTTAATATGGTGCAGCTTCACTTACTTCAAAGGAGTTTCTCACAGACATAAATCAGTGAGAGATGAGAATCAGGTCCATGATACACAAATTACAGTGAAATATTACTGTCAAGCTCAGATATAGTAAAATGTGATAGAAATACGTGCTATATGTACTTACAAGTCCCGTTTGTTAAAGCAGAACAATACTCCCAGAAGGATGGACAACAAGAATGCCAGACACACAGGTACAACTATGGCTTCTATTTCTCCTTTTCCTAAAAATGGAAAAAAAGCAATTTTAGTTTTTTGAAAAAGTGCTCAGCAGAACTTTCCCTGACAATCATTCCAAAAGGAAAAGACAGACTAATACATACAGTGCTGCCTTGTCATAAAGCTTACCAGATTATACCCTAATAGAATTGAACTGAAATATGATTATTTTGTTATCTTTAAAGTCTCAGTGAGTCTTTTTATAGCCAACATTCTTAGCTAAAAGTTTGCTTATTATTATTGCATACATTACAAGAACTATGAACTTACATGAGTAGGGGTAACAAAAAGAAATCCCACTTTTAGCACCTTCTCATTAGAGGAACATAGAGCAATATAGCAGTGAAGAGAGACTGTGATATTTGGGGAGAACCTTCAATTGAAGTTTAGAAGAGTTCACAACATATTTAAGGCCTTGTCTATACGCTGCTGCTGGAGCGCCCCTGGTAATCCACCTCCACGAGAAGCATAAAGCTTGTTACACCATGGCTGCAGCGCCGCGGCGCCAGTGTGGACGCCCTGGTCCATTAATGTGCTCTGATTGGCCTCTAGAAGTGTCTCAAAATGCCTGTTCTAGCCACTATGGTCATCACTTCGAACTCTACTGCCCTGTCCTCAGGTGACCAACTGTCAGATCCGCCCTTTAAATTCTCTGGGAATTTTGAAATTCCCCTTCCTGTTTGCTCAGCAAGGCGCGGAGTGCTCTCAGCGCATCTTTCCAGGTGACCATGCCTCCACGCCCCAGGCGACCCCCAGTATGGAGCAATGGCGAGGTGCTGGACCTCATCAGTGTTTGGACGGAGGAAGCGGTCCAGTCCCAGCTACGCTCCAGCCGTAGGATAACTCGATGTGAGAGAGCCTACGGGCAGATATCAAGGGCCATGATGGAAAGGGGCCATGACCGGGATGCAGTGCAGTGCAGGGTTAAAGTGAAGGAGCTGCGGAATGCCTACCACAAAGCGTGGGAGGCAAACCACTGCTCCAGTGCTGCCCCCACAACCTGCCATTTCTACAAAGAGCTGGACGTGATACTTGGGGGCGACCCCACCTCCACTCCGAAGACCACCATGGACACTTCAGAGACCGTAGTAGCAGAGTTCAACAAGCCAGGAGGAGGAAAACGGGAGCAAGGGTGCTGAGGAGGAGGGGTACCCAGAGCCAGAGGATGGCCCGGCATCCCTAGATGCATGCAGCCAGGAGCTGTTTTCAAGCCAGGAGGAAGGTAGCCAGTCGCAGTGGACGGTGCTTGGGGAAGAACAAACAGCAGAGGTGGTGGTGCCCAGTAAGTGGCTTTTATTTTGGGAAGGTAATTGCTTGGTGCGGGCTCTTGGGGCAGGAGGGTTGCAGAAAGAAGGGTTAGGGCTGTGTGCATGCCTAGATGCAGAGTAGGGCGTTGATGTGCTCTCTCACATCGCAGTTATCGGCCTCAGTGATCTCTTCAAATGTCTCATGCAGAAAATGGGCAATCCGCTTGCGTGGGTTCCCTGGCAGAGTTACTCTGTTCCTTCTCCCAGTAAGGCTAACATGTCCACGCCACTGTGCCATGAGTGGTGGGGGGGGGACCATTGCTGCACACAGGCAAGTGGCATAAGGGCCAGGGCAGAAGCCACATTGTAGTACGTTACCCTCAGTAGCGAGATATCTTCCAGGATGAACTCATCCTGTGGAAAGTGTGGGGGCCCGCTGCAGCTGTTGGCTCTCCCCAAGGCACAGAATCAACGCCAGAGGCAGTATGGCCCTGAAATAATCAGTCCCCCTTGTCCTTACTCACCATTTTGGGTGGGTTATGTGCGTTTGTTTTGGGACTGGCACTTTCTGATAGTGTACACTGTACTTGTCTTTAAGTACAGCCGAATCATTGCTCTGTCTATTGTGAACAATGCTGCCTCTGTTAAGTGCTGCATTTTGGCTTTACAGATGCAACCTTGAGATCCCAGTTGTCCTTGTTATCAACAGCCAAAAGACTACAAAGAATCAGGAAGCGTATGCGAAGAACCAAAGAGAACCTGCTGCATGAAGTCATGCAGCAGTGCCTTACTGAAAATCTAAAAGTACAGGAGTGGCGGGAGACTGAAAGGAGGCTCTGCCGGCAAAATGCAGATTGCCAGCACCAAAGCACGGAGTGGCTCATAAAGCATTATGGAGTGCCAAGTTGACTCGATACAGGCGCTCATAGCACTGCAGATGAAGCAGATCCGCCCCAGCAGCCTTTGTCCCAAAACTCTTTTCCTTGTACCCCCATGTCACTGCCAACCCACTTCCCCCAGCATCCGGTTTCTTACCGCCACCAGCTGCCTCCAACACCTTTAGCATCACCACCCAGCCCTGCAAACTACAACCCTTACCCACTGCATTCAATCACCATGCATTTTAGCCAGCCTGAAGCGCAGCACTCATTGCGCGGCACTCCAGACAGGAAGGCTGAATATGATAATAGGACTACGTAAATCTGTGACTGTCCCATTCCACACCTTGCCCCCTTCCCTCCTCACACACAGCACAGATGTGTCAGGCCCTTTCTGTTTCCCCAGCAGTTGTGTCTCTTTTCAATAAATGCATTTTTTGGCTTTGAAAACATTCTTTATTGCATTAAGTAAAAGATACCATAGCCCAGGAAAGTAACAGGCACTGCAAGTAAGTGCATCATACGTAGGATGCGATTAATGGCCCTGCAAACTTGCATCAACATGATTCCAACAGTCGACTTTCCCACTCAAACCTGGTTAGCGACCTATCGGGTAGCTGTCTGGAGTTGCCAGCTTCCAGATTGTAATAGCCACCTGCTTCTCCACAGGCAGGGCAACTCTCAATCTTGTGTCCTTGTGCTGCAGGGTGGGTGTGAGCTCAGTACACAGTCCCATGGAAGTGGCTTTCCTCATCCGAAAGTTCTGCAGCCAGACTTGCATGACGATGTGATCCCACCACTCAGTGCTTGTTTCCCGAGCCAAAAAGTGGTGTTCCACTGTGGTGAGCATGTCTGTGAATGCCACAAGTAATCTCGTGTCGTCTGCATTATGCGAGTCAACATCATCGTCCGACTTCTCACTGTCACTTTGTAGCTTAAGGAGTAACTTGATTGCAATTCGTGACATGCTGGCAAGACCCATCAGCATATTCCTCACAAGTTCAGGATCCATTCTCTGACCAAAAGGGAAGAGAGTGCGCAGTACAAAAAACGCTGAAAGACGATGCCAAATGTGGACGGAAGCACGGACTGATGGGATACGAAGCGATGCATCATGGGGCATTGGGACAGGATCCAGAATGCCCCGCACACCCCCGCCCCCTTCCCAAAAGGCACAGTGCCAGACTGGGAAGAGGTGCTCTGTGGGATAGCTGCCCATAATGCACCGCTCCCAATGCCGCTGCATGTGCCACAAATGTGGCCACGCCACTGCGCTTGCAGCTGACAGTGTGAACACACGGCAGCACTTTCTCTGCTGCGGTCTCCGAGGGCTGGTTTAACTCACAGCACTCTACATCTGCAAGTGTAGCCATGCCCTAAAGCACCTAAGGGTATGTCTACACTACGAGAGTAGTTCGATTTTAGTTAAATCGAATATGTGCAATCGATATTAGAAAGTCGAACGTATGTGTCTACACTAAGGACAGTAATTCGACTTTGTCAGTCCACACTACCAGGGAAAGCGTCGACATTGGAAGCAGTGCACTGTGGGCAGCTATCCCACAGTTCCCGCAGTCCCCGCTGCCC